GGTGGGGCATGGAAAGGCAAAGAATGGCAGTAATCTTCCCTGCTTGGGAAACTGGGAGAATGGTGGAACTGCTAATGGAGCTGACTGGGCAGAGCTGGTTTGGGGTGAAAAAACCCCCACTTTGTGTTGTAAAAGGATGGTTGCTTCTTAAGAAACTCCTGTTACATAAAAAACAACAGCCCTACATTATAAAGACAAAAAGATTCCAAAGGGACAAAGGGGATCAGGATAATAATAACTCTCACTTGAGTGAATATCAGAATCATTCAGGGAATTAGATAAAAATGTAGATTCATGAGACCTAGCCCCGGAATTCCCATTCAGCAGGGCTGGGGTGGGGCCTAGGAATCTGACTTTGTGACACTGTATTAAACAATAGCCTGGGGAATTTTGCAGTTGGTTGGTGGTTACATTTCATAAACATTGGTTTCAGGGCTGGAGAATCTTAGAGTTGCAATACCAAAGTTGTTTTTCATGCTTATAATTGTTTGTTATAAAAAGGAAGATGCCTCTATGTATGTGTATTTTATTATCACAGGTAATAATAAACTGGTTGATAAAAAGGACAGCAAATCTAAATAGCACTGAGAACTAGGGAAAAGTAAAAGGGTTGAAAGGAGACCAAAGGGAAAACAGATGACTAAAAACACATTATCAAGATGAGTCTCAGCACAGCTCTTCGCGTACCAAGAAGATGTGACACCAGTTGCTCCCCTTAAAGAGAATCACTGCTGGCCTGCAACTGTTCACATAAGTAAAACACGTGTCAGGTTTATCATAAGCTGCTATTAGAAATTTTACTTTATAATCTATAACAGAGCAAGGACCTCTAGAACATCTCATGCAGATGTATGCAAATGAGCATATGAATGTATACCAAAAAAGCAAAGAAGCTTTTCTTTCCTTCTTTTCTGCAAATAAGCTCCATTGTCTGATTTTAAAGTCAGCTGTGCAAGAAAGTAACCAGAAACAAGAATACATCCTGTATGCTTCTATTTTTATGACGTTAAAGAAGAGGGTTGTGTGTATTGGAGGATTGGCAGGTGAGGGGCATCAGGAAGTTTTCTGGGTGATGAAAGTGTCTTATATCCCAATCTCGGTAGGGGTTACAGAAAAACTGGGTATAGTCTATCTGACTGGAAGCTGCACTGGTTACTCTCACATGGTTTCTAAGTAGTAAGCTGCCTCAACTTTCTACTTTGGCTTTTGTGTTTGATGCCACTCGTGTCATGTAACATGCCTATATCTGAAACAGATGTGGTATCTGGGGGCATGGCCCAGAGCTGGGGGCTCAGGAGCCCCACTCTTGCTCGCATTTGGGAGAATGCAAGCCACAACTGGAGAAACCAGGTCTCCTCTTGCCCCGCGATGGATCAGCGAGCATTCACATGGGAAGCAATGCGAACAGTCAGAGCTGAAGTGAGGGACAAGGGCAGCCTGGCCCAGTCCCAACTTTACCCCTGCCCAACATCCTCACCTGTCGATAGCGATGGCCAGCAGAGCGTTGGTGGAGACGTAGAGCGACACGGTCCGCAGGTAGTTGACAGAGGCACAGAGCGCGTGGCCATGCTCCCAGGAGAGCTGGCGCACCACATAGTAGTCCATCTCGAAGGGGCAGCAGACAATGGCCACCAGGAAGTCAGAGACGGCCAGGTTAGCGATGAGCAGATTGGTGAGGTTGCGCAGCTTCTTATAGCGGACGAGAGCAGCGATAAAGATGAAGTTGCCAACGCCACAGACCAGCATGATGGCAGCCAGGGCCATACCGATGACGATCTGGGCTGCGAAGAAGGTCGGGGTCTTGGTCATGTCCTCGTCCTCCCCCAGAGGGAGGTCATAGTCGCTGTAACTGAAGTTGGCGGGGAGGGGGGAGGCATGGTCTGGGAGGGGATGGAAGTTGGGTGCAAAACTCGTGTTTCCATTCGGGGTGGCCATGGTGAGCCTGCAGGTGGAGTGGTGGGCGGGAATCTCAGGGTCTGAGTACTCTGAGCTCGAGGTCCAGATCTGCTCTCACGAGGTCAGGGAACCGAACATCCGCCCTCATCCTTGGGGAAAGTCCTGCCATCCTGGACCCTGGAAGGAGACACAACCAGTGGACAACATTCAGGAGAACACCTGGTAGCGTTCCCAGAGTCCTCCAGGTATGGGCCAACTAGACCTGGTGCTACCCATGGACAGAACTACCCAGGGTACAGGGCAGCGGAGACATGAGACCCAGAGACTGGGAAATCCTCCCCTGGCTGTTGGGCTGTCAGGAGGGACAGGGCATAGGATGGACTGGACTCTCCAGAGACACGCAAGAGGAGCCTGTATCTCTTCCTTTTTCACCAGGGCAAGGATCCCGCTGACTGACCAATCACCACTCCTCCCTTCCCCAGCAGCCTTCACGGGGGTCTTCTGGAAGTTTTCCAGGGCTGCTCCAGGCAGCTAGTCCAGGCATCTGTGGCAGTCACAATGTCACGCCATCCGTTAGCCAGGGGCAATGAGCCAAAGGACGGATACATCAGAGTCTTTCCTCTAAAGGAGGGCACTGCACCCTCTGTCCAGGCCAAACCACGGACTTAGAGATGGCCATATCCATCTTCTCGTGGACAGGCTGAGTCACTTGGGGCAGTGATCTATGCGCTCTGTGTGCCAGTCTTCCTGCAAACCAAAATCCTGCTGCCCAGCCCAGGGCCTGGCACATAGTGGGGGCCGGAGAGGAATCTGTTGAATGAATGAATGAGGATCCCAACCAGGATTCCACAGGTGGAGAGGGGGCTGTGGGTGGGAGGACATTCTTCAGCTGCTACCCTACATTCCGAGAACCAGCTTTAGAAAGAAATCCTTTGTCTGCTTTCCCTCCCTCCTCTGTCCCCTTCACTGGGCCCACAGTTCCCCTCCCGGAATCAGCCCTGACTGGGAAGCACCGTGGCCTGTCACCAAGGTGTGTGTCCTCTGAAGGTGGTAGCTGCTTCCAGACTGGGCCTAACTGAGAAGAGCCCCACTAGGGGCGGGCAAGCGTCAGCAAGGAGCCAGGAGGGCTAGAGGACTGGACTTTACATCAAGAGGCTCACGGAGAGGAAATGAAGCCTCTGAAGTACTGAGCCCTCAGGAGATAGGGTACCATTGAGTTCAAGGCCTCTAGGGGTCGGAAGAAGAACCGGGATCCCCAACACCCGGAATGAGGGCCCTAGTCCAGCTGTGAACCACCTGCACCCCTTCCCTTAGCACATCTGGAAACGACTCCACGTGTGGGCCGCGGGATGCTGGTAGCAAGTAGTGGACGAAACTGGACAGGAAGTATGGCCTGGCCCTGTGAGAGGGGTGGAGGGAGGGATAGAACTGCCGGGGAAGGGGGGGGCACCGAGGGGGGCAGGGACACTACCACCTGCGGTGCGCTGGCCTGCTGCCTACCTGAGCTAAAACCTGAGAGGTGAAGTCCAAGCCCCAGGGGCATTTGCAGCCGGGGTGTCCTCCCTCCCGGTCGCCTTTTGGACTTAGGGGAGGCCCAGTGCCCGCAGACAGTGCTCAGCCCCAGACGGACAAGCAAGAGTCACGCCCTCTTGGCTACTAGGCTCCTAGTCCCTCCTGTCCCGGGGCCCCAGAGGAAGGGGCGTGCACCCGGAGCAGGCAGATCCCGGCCCCCTTTCCACGGGATGCACTCCCTGCCCTGACCAACTCGCTGCAGGAGCCCTCTCGTCTCCTTCCCCGATTAACCACCCAGCGTGGCCGCGCTGTCCCCAGAGGCGCCGCCCTGACGGAGGCGACAATCAAGACAGAAATTCGGGCTCGAAAGCAAAGCGTGAGGGTGGGGGTAGATAGGGGGGCGGGAATTTCCCCCCAAACGCTTCCCCTGTTCTGCTCTCCTTTCAAGAAGGCTCTGCCCTCCCCACGCCCTTCCCTGCACTTTGGCGCTCGCCCGCTCGCATCCTTCGCCGGCGCCCACACTCCCCAGTCTCAGTTTACCATCCTCTGCCCGGTCTCAGCAGGTCGGTGGGCTGGACCGCTCTCCCCGCACCGACTCCTCTCCTTCGAGCCATCCCGCGTGCATCCCGAGGAGGCGGGAAGCAAAGCAGCCCCAATCCCTCGGAGGAGAAGTGGGCGTCGGCGCCCCAGCCCCGGCGACGCCCCCCACCCCACCAGTGGAGCCTTCGACCGCGCCGCCCTCACCCCTCCTTGTCTCTGCGCCTCGTTCCCGCGCGCTCCTGGCCCTGTCCAGCTCTGGGGACCCGGACTTGCACTTGCAAAGCCGCTGCGTTGAGGGTGTCCCTCTTAATTGCCCCAGCACGCTTCCCGGGAGCGTCGTGGTCGCACCCTCGGTCGCGGTCGCGGTCTCGGTCTTCTGCTGGATTGGCGCTCCGCCTCCCAGCTCTTCCAGGCTCAGACCCTGCCCGATGCGCCCCGCCCCGCTCTCAGCTCCGCCCCGGGGTCCCCCGCCCGCGTCCTAGACGTAGAGGGAGAAGGGAGCTGAGCTCCGGCACGTGGTGCGCTCCAGGGAGCCGGGCGCACGGGCTCTGCCGTGTCGGTGGGCATTCCCAGGCCGCGGTGTCCTCCTCGCAGAGGTTTCTGCGCCTTCGCACCCTAGTGTCAATGGGAGCGCAGTAGCGCAGTTTAGCTGATGCGATTTGCAGCAACCTGCAACGCTTTCTGCGCGCCACGTTGGAGCCCTGCGGGAAGTGGCCCGTGCAGGAGCTGAGCGTCTGGTCTTCTGCAGGAGCCCGGTGCCAGAGTCCGCTCCTGCTACACGGTGCCTTCTTCAGGAGGAGTCCGGGGTGCATTTCTTGGTGCCCCAGAGCTGGTGGTGGGGAGACTCCTAAGAGCGCAGAGAGCGAGCTTTGTGGGATGGTGGTAGAGGAGGAGGCCCCCTCGGAGGAAGCTGGGGGGCCGAGGGCAGAGTGCCCTGCTCAAAGCTCTGACCCTGAAGTCCTCACCAATGCTTGCGATGCCCACCACTGCCAGATTCCTTGGCCATTCAAAGACCATCCCAGCTGGACTTCTGCCTGTCTGTCGGGAGACTCAGGAACCCTTCACTTTGCTTCCAACAGGCTTTGATTTTAGACAGTTTTCATGATCTCTGGTCCTTGATCTCTACATATTGAGGGAGGGGATTAAACTATAAAGACCGACTATTTCTAATGACCTACATGTAGCTGGAAAGCTCAGAGGGAAGCTCTGGGTTTTCAGAATTGGACCTGGCAGCTGTGTTAGGAGAGGGAACCCTCCACTGATAAATCCCAGCCAATTGTTGCCAGCTTGGAATATGGACTTTGCTTTGTCAGATCTTCACATTTTCCCAGAGAGTCTGGAATCTAAGAATTTTATACTCTGTTGGCTTAGTTAAAACAAAATAACAAAACCTATGCTGGCCAAAAACAGCAGATCTCAGAATGAATCAGTCCCTTTGCGCACCAACTTAAAATTCCTGAAATCCTTTGGGTGGTGACATTCTGTGACTTTGCCTTTCCCTCCTTATGTAGAATTCTGTGATTTTGCCTTTCCCTCCCCTTTAAAATTTTTTTCCAGCTTTATTGAGATATAATTGACATACAGCATTGTGTAACTTTAAGGTATACAACTTGATATATTGTGAAATGATTACCATAAGGTTAGTCAACACATCCATCACCAAGCATAATTATAATTTTTTGTGTGTGTGGTGAGAACTTTTAAGATCTGATCTCTTAGCAACTTCCAAGTATACAATACAGTGTTGTTAACTATAGTCATGATGCTGTATATTAACTAGATCCCCAGAACTATTTATCTTATGAATAGGGGACATTTGTGTCCTTTGACCAACATTTCTCCATTTCCTTCACGCCCCCACCCAACTCCCTGGCAAGCACCATTCTACTTGTGATTTATGAATTTGGCTTTTTAAAAATTTTTATTAAAGATCTTACATATAACTGAGGTCATACAATATTTGTCTTTTTCTGTCTGACTTATTTAAGTCACCCAAAATGGCCTCAAGTTTCATCCATATTGTTCTGAATGGCAGCATGATATCCTTCTTTTTACTGTTGAATAATATTCCATTGTGTGTGTATGACATTTTATGGCTGATTATATATATATAATTGTATACCATCCACGCTTACGTGTTTCCATGACTGGGCTATTGTGAATGATGCTGCAGTGAACAAGGGGTGCAGGTATCTCTTCAAGATAAAGATGTCATTTCCTTCAGATACATACACAGAAGTAGGATGGCTGCTTCATGTGGTAATTCGATTTTTAATTTTTTTAAGAACCTCCATACAGTTTCCATAATGGCTGCGCCAATTTACATTCCCATGCACTAGAGTTCTCCTTTCCTCATCCTCACCAACACTTGCTTTCACTTGTCTTTTTGATAACAGACATTCTGACTGGTGTGAGGAGATAGCTCACTGTGTTTTCTTGTTTGTTTTTTTGTTTTTCTGCAACCAACATTACTTTTATTAGTATTTATTTTATGTTGAATTTACTCCCGGGCTGTAAGTTTTCGTTTCTTCAGTTTCTTCTGGGACATCTTTTCTTCCGTGCACCTCCTCTCTTCGCCTAGGAACCATCTGCTCTTTTCGGGTAGGATCATCTCCGTGAGGCCGGGAGAGAGCTCATATGTGGGTTAATCCGCCCATGCGCTCTGTAAGTTCTGCATGTATCTTGGGAGCTTTGTTCACCTGGATGTGCTCAATGACCAGAGAATCTACATCTAAACCCTTAAGTTCAGCATTACTCTCTGTGTTCCTAAGCATGTGCAGCAAAAATTCAGCACTCTTTCTGGGCGACCAACCCTGTGTCCAACCCCACTGTTTGGCCCGGGCACACCTACCAACTCCACCATGATAACGACGGAATGGCACACATTGCTTCTGTAAAGTGTGGTGCCCAAGTGCCAGGTGTAAAACGGGCATGCACCTTCATTACACCAAACCTTGATCCCAGCAATGTGGATTCCTGTTCTGTAC